GACGGTGTGGGGCCGGGCGGTGCGGGCCAGGCCATACTCCTTCCACTCGGCCGCGGCGAGGAGCAGCCTGTCTGTCCCCTCGGTGACACCCACCAATGTGGATCTCGCTGGCTTCCCAAGGGCACCCCGGCAGAAGTGCTGTACAAAGGAACCATTACCAGGATCATCGGAGAAGACAGCCCCAGCAGAGCAGAGAAGGCGAGAGAGGATGCCATGCCCAAAGGACATGTCATCTACGAAGGGAAGAAAGGCCACGTGCTGTCCTACGAGGGTAAGTTGTAACCTTCTGCCATTTTAGGGTGGGCACGGGGGGGTTTGTGCTGCTGTGGCTGGGAGCTATCTGAGGCAAGATGAGGAAATGCAGCAGGCCTGCTTCACATCTTTGCTTCCAGCATCTTTTCTCTCTCTTCCCTCCCTACCTGCCTGCAGCCCGGCTGGGTTTCCCTCTCCCGTGTGGTTATCTTGCCTTGGAGGCAGCTTTGTCAGCAGGCAGGAGTGTGATGGGGCCACAAACTGAGCCTCTGGTTTTGTTTGGTTGAGAGGACCAGATGGGATGGTATTACCTTCATCCCTAGCACTCCTGCACAAGAGGGGACTCTCTGAAAACCTTGCAAGAGTATCCTCAGGCTCCTGGGCCAATGTGAGACTCAAGAACATGCAAGATGGAGGCTAGTCAGGTAGTTTGGTGTAAAGATTTGTTCAGACATCAGATTCCCACCTGCAATGTCTTGGGTACTGTGCAGTTTCCAGGCTGGTTGTTTCATTTGGGGCCAGAGGCAAAAGGTTCAGCTCAGGCCATGGGGGACAACTCGCAAGCTCCAGCTGATGCCACCTCAATGCATGCCCTGGGACCATGGGGACCTTTCAGGACAGGGCTCTGTGCTGTGCCTCTCACCCGTCATGTAGACACCAGCTCATTCCATCCCTGCCTGCCTTCACTGTCAGCTCTAGCCCAGATAAGAAGTGTCACCGTGAGAGACTTGTGTCTGGGTGCCCTTTGAGACAGTTGGCAGAGCTGGAACCAGGGAGGACACAGGAAGCATTTCAGGACTTGTTTGTGTAAGAAGCTATTTTAATCTGTTTCCTGGGCTTGGAGTTGAATGAGGTTGATCTCAAAGATGGTGCTGCCAGGGGAGGGATGGGGAAGGCTCCTGGCAGCGAGGGCTGCCCGTGCCCAGAGCTGGGATCCTGCAGAGCAGGCTGTTCCCCATTGCACACACGTATCCATGTCACCCCATCTCCCTGGCTGCAGCATGAGCCCATCGCCTCTTGTCCTACCCCCGTCGATGCAGATGAGGAATTCATTCCTTCCTCTCCACGGCAGCCTTTTACATGCTTGATAGCATTTATCACACCCTGAGTCATCTCGCCTGCGTCTGCAGCCCAGCCAGCCCTGCTGCCTGTCCTTCCCCCCTACAGCCCAGCGAGGCTTCACAGCCTGGAGTGCAAGAGTTAAAAAAGAAAAAGAAAACTGAAATTGTTGGTGGTGGTGATCAGTTTTGGCAAGCAGAAAAAAAATTGCAAATTCTTTAGTGTCATGAGGGTGCTTAAAATAAAAGAGCTGTAATGAGACGAGATCCTGCAGCATGTGCGAGCTGAATTGTGCTAGATTGGTTATTCTTGCTCTGCGTGTGATTGCTGATGGCTTCTGCCAGGCAAGGGACGTGGCTTTGGAGTGATTTGCTTTCTGTTCAGTCTCTTTCTCCTCGTGCCCTCCCTCCCCCTGCCTCCCAGCGGTACAAAGGGTGCCGGGGCCGTGTCCCCTCTGCAGAAGAGCTGTTGGCAGTGGATGTGCCTGGATGGCAGGGTGTAGTCCCCTCACTGTGAGAGGCTCGGCTGGGGCACAGCCTCACCCCCACATTTAATCTGGAGGCTTGGGGACACATCCCCCTCTTGTTTCCCTGTGTGCAGCCCCAAACACTTTTTGGATCGAGCGGGTGCCGAGTGTGGAAACCAATAGTGGGTGTGAAGTTGTAATAATCTCAGCTTATTAATTACTGGTTTCGCTGAGGAGAACTTTTGTTCCCCATTGTCCATGATGGAATGAATGTTTTTAACTTCTCCTCTGTTTTCTCTAATTGTGTAACCACCTTCTCTGCCCACAAAGAGGAGGATCAGGGCACTGCAATCCTTAACAGGAGCTGCCTGGCCAGGGATGATGGGCAGAGCATTTATCTCTCCAAGCCAACATCCCCACTTGGAGCCTGTTACATAAACACGAGACATTCAGCTGGAAGCTGCCAGCTGAATTCCCAGCTCACCGCACACGGCGGATGCCCATCGCCCAGGGTGGGCTGGTGCTGCCTGGCACAGGCAGGGCTGTGCTTGCAGAGGGGTGGGGGCTGTAGCTCAGGACAGTTGTCTTCTGCGTGCTTGCAGAAGAATCTGCTCCGTGTTTGGATGAGGAGGTAGTTGGTGGTCCCTCATCACACTGGTGCTTGCTCCATCAGTTCCGTGTGGGACTTTCCACTGTCTCTCTCAGTTCTTGTGCTGTTTCAGAGGAATCATTCTCAGCTTTGCCTCCCCTCCCTTTTCACTGATCTTCTCACCCAGGGAGTGTCTCGGCAAATGTTAAGGCTGGCCGAGATCCCAAACAGTAGGTGTCTAGCAAAAATCAAAACAAACAAGGGAAAAAAACTAAAAATCCCCAGGCCCACGGGGCTGAGTTCAGTGGAAGCGCAGCTGCTGCTGCCCCAGTGCCACGCTGGCTCCAGCCGCCCTGCCCTGCCTGGTGCCCCCCGCCGCGGAGGGGGAGCGGGACACGGCAGGGTGGGTGCCCCTGCCCAAGCTGGAGGCACAGATCTGGAGTCTGAGGCAGGCAGGGAGGGGAGAAAACGCCAGCTGAATTTCTTGGAAGCCAATCTCGTGCGATGTTTCTGGCGTCGCTGAGTGGTGGCTGATGCTGGGATGGGGTCTGACCTTTCGGCAGCACACGCAAACAGCAGTAAACACCCTCCCTGGTGCTGGCTTCCCGTGCTCCTGATGGTGCTTCTCGGTGTTCCCTTCCCCAGGTGGAGTTGCTGCTTCTCCATGTCCCAAAGAAGACAGCAGGAGCTCAGGAGCTTCACATGAGACCACAGGAACCAAGCGGACCTATGATATGATGGAGGGGAGGATCAGCCGCGGCTTATCAAGCCGGGATACCTTATCTGCCAGCATTGAAGGTGGGTCTGGGGGAAACTTTTCACTTGTGCTGTGTTAGTAGCGACCTGCAGAGATCCCACCTTGTCTCTTGTCTACATGATGCAGCTCTGTGCCCGTGTTTTGGTGGTGGTTAGCTGGTACTCAGCATCACGTCCCAACAGGACAGCATCTGACCAGCGTGGGAACACAAGGGACACAGGCTGACCCACTTGTCTTTGGTTTCTGTCCTGTTGGCCAGGCCCAGGGCTACCAAAAAAGGGAAGGGGAAAAAAAAAAAAAGAGAAATCAAGTAATTTAGAAATTCTTGATGTTTTTTCTTGTTGTCCCAGGAGTCCCTGGTAACACTGTTGTGGATTCCATGTAAGTGAACTCCTGTGTCACCACCCAACTTTCCCCCCTTGGATCTGTTCTAGGTCTCATGGGTCGAGCGATCCCTCCAGACCGACACAGTCCCCATAGCCTAAAGGAGCAGCATCACATGCGGGGCTCAATTACACAAGGTAAAGCCTGCAAGCAGAAGATGGCCACGGCCAGAGGTAACGTGGGGAGGTATCTCCCCTTGTTCTTGTTGTCAGGCTGGGGAAGGAGGAGACAAGAATGGACACATCAAGGTCCAGCTGCAGAGCTCTCCAGCTTTGGCTACGCTCAGATTTTCAGTCTTGCTTAACTTCTACTAACCAAAGCTCTCACCAAAGCTCAGAGTAAAATTCTAAGTGACTTGCCTGAAGGCAGGTTGAAACTTTTGTGAGATGGGTCCAGAAAGTGGTGGTAGATGTGAGGTGGTCTGGCAGCATCAGTGATACAGCTGCTCTGTGTGCTTAGTTGGGTACCAGTCCCTAAGTTTCATGCATTAACTAGAGACCCCCCTTGAACTGAGTGTCTTTATGGGGACTGGGACTCCAGTGTCTGGCTGGGGACTCACCCTCTGCCTCCTCTCTCTGGTTGTGGTTTGCAGGAATACCTCGGTCCTACGTGGAGGCCCATGAGGACTACCTCAGAAGAGAAGCCAAACAGCTCAAGAGGGAAAACACTCCACCAAGGGACTTATCTGATGCCTACAAAGTCAGGTCACATGAGGGCCTTACTCCTCTGAAAATGAAACCAGCCCACGAAGGCTTGGTGGCCACAGTGAAAGAAGCTGGGAGATCAATCCATGAGATTCCCCGAGAGGAGCTGAGGCGGACACCCGACATCTCTCTGACGAGACCTCTGAAGGAAGGCTCCATCACGCAGGTGAGTGTGGGGAGAACAGCAGATCAGATGGGTCCTGCCCAGGCTTCTGTCTCTGCATAGAGCCTGGGGACCATTCCCAAGGTAAAAGGAGAGCACAGAGGGTTTCAGGTTGCAGAAACATCACTGGTCAGGATTGAAGCTCTGTTTGAGTTCAAGTTGCTCTTCCCCATCCTTTGATGGGTCCCTTCCAACCCAAACCAATCTAGGATAAGTACAAAACACAGGGAAGGGAGCTCAGCACCCTCTGGCACATGAAGAATGTGATGCTCCACCTCCCCATGTAAACAAAAGGGGACACATTTGGCTCTTGTTGAAGGCCAGAGTCAGCTCAGTGCCCTCGGCAATTGTGGCTCTGGGTGAGCATAATCTTGGTCTCCTCCCTTTACGGGCAGCTGTAAACCCAGCAAGGCCAGTAGTTCTGGTGAAATGTGGCACGCTGTCTCCTGTCGGGCTCCAAATATTTGGAGGGTTCCCATGGCACCTCACAGTCCTACCTCACTTGGCAGCGTGTGTAGGAGAGAGGCGTGATGGGCACAGCCAGCCTTCGGCAGTGACTCATCATCCTCTTGTTGGAGCACAGCAGGGCCCAGGGGACAGGCCCTCCACCCTGCCCCGTTCCCTCCGCTCGCGCCCGTGGCCGTCTGACCCCCTAAACCAGTGCACTGTGACCCCCTAAACCGGTGCACTGTGACCCACTGAGCCAGGGCTCACGAGTCCCACTGAGACGTGGCCGGGCGCGGTCGCTGCGGCCGCGCCCCTTTGATGTCCCCTCTGCCTCCCGTGCCCAGGGCACCCCGCTGAAGTACGACAGCAGCTCTTCCTCCTCGGGCACCAAGAAGCACGACGTGCGGTCCATCATCGGCAGCCCCAGCAGGACTTTCCACTCCGTGCACTCGCTGGACGTCATCCAGGACCCGAGGAATCTGGAGAGAGCTTACGAAGAGAGCCTGAAAAACAGGCCGAGCCCGGTGACAAACTCGGGTGGCTCCATCGCCAGAGGGGCTCCTGTGATTGTGCCCGAGCCGGGCAAGCCCCACCAAAGTGCCCTGGCCTACGAGGACCACCAGGCAGGGCACAGCACGGCGTTCAGCAGCCATTTGCACAGAGGCTCCCCGGTCTCCACGCGGGAGTCCACGCCGCGGCAGCACGAAGGTACTGGGCAAACCTTTTATTTGAGGCTGATTTGAGGCTGCTGTGCTGCTGAGGGACATGGTTTAGTGGTGACCTGGTAGTGCTGGATTAACAGTTGGACTTGATGATCTTAAAGATCTTCCAACCCAAATGATTCTGTGACTGTATGGTTCTCATCTGGTGTGTGCTTGCCTACCTCATGTGTTTGTTTCTTATCCGTTACTGGGACACGTGAGTGCCTCACCTCCAGGAACATCTAATCCCTGCTGAGCTGGTGGATCTGGGCTGTGAGGCTGGTGCTTGGGATCTGCTCTCTGCCTGCACTGGGCAGGGTGTGCCTGTGTCCCCTGGCATCACATGTCCCCTGGCCCCCAGAGCTAGGCCCGGGGCTCCCGGGGAGCAGGAGCATGGCTGGGCTGGACTCAGATGCAGAGCACAAGAGCTCCTCTTGCTTCCTGGCATGTCTGTGGGCAGGATCAGTGCTGAATCCAGTCCCTAAGACACCTTGTCCCACCAGTCCTGTGAGCTCTGAGCAACTGCTTCAGGGCCTTTTGCATCTCCCACCTGCAAATCCTTATCCTAACCCCAAGAGTCCTATGATTTGAGGGCGTGCAGCACAAGGCATCACAGTCTGCTGAAAGCTGAGGCGAGGACATGCCTCCCCAGCAAGGAGTGGGAGATGGGGCTGTGCAGTGCAGAGCTTTTCCAAAAAGCCTCCCCCATTGCTTGCTGCTGGCTGGGCCAGCCCCAGCTCTCTGTGATCGATGTGCCCCGTGGCCACAGCTTCTGCTGTCTTCCCAGTTAGCTCAGTCCTTTTCAGGGAAGCCTTTGGATGTTGGTGGCTCTTTGGTATTGGCACACAGAGTGAGCACAATGCAGGACAGGCAGTGCCTGGGCAGTGGGGAGGGATCCCAAAGGGAAAAATAAATGTTATTGCAAAACACCAGTGGGAAGGTGGATTTCGGCACGTCTAGAGCTCAGTGGGTTTGGGGATGCAGAGGATCTGGAGGAGGATTCCCCGTGGCATGGGTCGGAGTTGGAAGGCACCTTTCTCCAAGTCGCTTGAGCTTTCCTGCCCCAGCAGTAGGTTTGGTTGATCAGCAGCTGAGCCAAGACACCAAAAGTTGTGAAAGGAGCAGGAGCAGCGCTTTGCACGGCCTGTGCTGCAGCCCTGGTTGTTCTAAAGTTGGCAGCGATGGTTCTGGAGCCACTTGCATGTGCATGAGGTGGCAGCTCCTTGCTCCCTGAGCCAGGGCCAGGCAGCCTTTGGTGTGGAGTCTGGTGCAAGGGGTTTGGTCTCACTGCTTGGGGTGGCTCTGTGTCAGCTGTGGTCCCCAGCCTGCTGTTAGAGACACAGGAGCTGGTGACACTTGTCCCACGCTGGGCCAGAGGTGCCACCAATGCCCAGCTCGGGTTGGGAGAGCCAAAAAAAGCCCTTGATGTGACCCAACCTCCCTTCCATGTGCTGGGAAAGACCTTAGAGCTGCAGAGGGTGGTCTGACACTTTGAACTGTTTCATCACCACTGCTGGGAGTTTTGGGGTCCCCAGCTCTGCCCGGCAGCAGTGACCTCCCCAGGCAGAGAAGCACAGCAGCAAGACCCCACCACCAGCTGCTTGTGCAGGCCAGGATGAACTCAGTCTGCCCAGCGTGGGTGCACTGGGGTGAAGGGTTGGTTTGGGCCAGGCTTCTCCTCCCGGGTGCAACCGGGGCTTGGCCTGCCTCGACCTCGGTGGCGTAACGGGGCACGGCAGCGCGGGGAGGAGGGAAAGGTCCCTCGAGTTCAGGGTAGCTGTGAGCTTCCCTGGGGAGCACGCTTGGCTGCAGGCACCCCTCGGGGACACGGCTTGGCTGCGGCGCTCAGTCTCTGACTCATTTCCTTCTGCTCGCTGCAGGGAGTATCACTGCCGGGAAGCCCGTGTCCCAGGACAGAAAGATCACCCCCACGTCACGAGAGCTCACCAACTCCAAGTCTCCACACGCCCCCGTGGCCGACCACCACCACCCCATCTCCCCGTACGAGCACCTGCTCCGCGGCGTGAGCGGGGTCGACCTGTACCGAGGACACATCCCGCTGGCTTTCGACCCCGCCGCCATCCCAGGTACCTTTGGCGAGGCCACGGCCCGTTTGGGGTTGGGTTTTAATAAGTTTAAAACCAGCGCTTCGAAAGCCTGAGGTCTCTGGGGAAAGCCATCTCACGTCTGCATCCTTTTCTCTCCCAGCTGCTGCTTACTACCTGCCGAGGCATATGACTCCGAGCCCCACATACCCCCACCTGTACCCCCCGTACCTCATCCGGG